GTGTGTGTTTCGATACCCTCCAGATTTAGCAGACTTTCACATCTGATAAATAGTACGTGAATCCTAAACCTTATTAAGGCACATTAAGTGATTCTGCACTTTCCTCTGGGGCTGGCCAGAAATGGAAACAATGTCAGCAAATATCCAGCAGGTGTCCTCATATACTCATGATAGGAAATTGGTTCCGACAGCTTCCCAAATTAGGACACTGTGCAGAATGACCAATGTTTCTTCCTGCAAAAACAGCACCAACAGGCGTGACACAAATAGCTCACATAAAACAAGCAGGTGATTCAGACAAAATTGTCCATCTAGACTACGTCAGATAACTCCAAGTTGCATATTGGATGATTAGAGTGAATGGTGTGTGCTGTTATGAAATAGACCCTTCATATGAAATATGAATCTAATATCGCAGCTTGAAACTGACCTGTAGCTCCCCGTGCCCTCGCAACAGAATGGCTTTCTGAAAACCATAATACTGTGGAGTCTATCTTTCCTCATGATAATAGCACTCTTAAAATGAAGAAGGCAAGAATGGCAAACTTGAGATTTACACTTCTGTCTCTTTCATGTGATGAGATGAGGGTGGGACAGTAGAGAAGAGGTAAATTGCCTCTCACGTCTTTCTTTTTTTTCTCACTCTCTTTTCTCTCTGTCACATTTGCAAGATTCTCAGGCAGACACACACCCTGATAAGTTTTGACAGGGTAATGGAGGTGTGTTAACGTCTTCATTGACATGAGAGGCAGTGATCAGGCATGACACGTCCTGCATGAGCAAGTAATAATGACTGTGTGGGTGTGTCAGCATACACGTGTGTGTGTATGTGTGTCTTTATTACAGTTTTTACAATTGCTGACACACTAACATTAAAAATAACACACACACACAAAACAAAAAAAACCTGCGAAATATCTCAGCCCACATCTGCGCAACTTTACCACATCCTCAGCCACTCACTTTTTGCGCAACACAAAACACACTTCTCTACATTAGACACAGAAATGTAACACTGCCTCACTGCCTTTCAAGAATCCACTAATCAAACATCAGGTGCACAGACACTTGGGTGCTTACTGCAACTGGCAATATAAAAAGGCAACAAGTGAGTGAACCCGTCTTCAACAAAAATCGAAGGCAATGTGCTTAGGTTATTATTTTTATTTATTCATTCATTTGTTTATTTATGTATTTTTTTGCACTACACTCCATTGCAGTTTTTCTCATTTGTCCATTCAGACACAGGTCTAAATATTACATATTTTTTCAATCAATCATTACACAATAGAAAACAAAATACAAAATACAGCGATCAATATGAACCAGTTCAACTTTATAAACTAGAGATACAACCCCTGCTGTATCCTGCACTTTTTATACTTATGTTTAAATGCCCTGTGGAAATACTGCATACAAACAACAGACAGTCATTAATTGTATTACATCTTAAAGAGTTGGATAAGGACTGATTGCTGAGTAGTGCAGGGGAGTTCCACACAGGTGCTTTAGAGATTTACAATTAAGCCAGTAATTTCTATCAGATGCGAATAGATGTTTTTCCTTTTGTTGAACGCAATTAATCCAGTACAGTTTTGGGTCTTACCATGAGATCTGTGTTACCTGTCAATGAAAAAGTGTTGACACATCTGCAACAGAAGATCTCTGCTGTATAAAGAAGGTGATGATGGATCCCAGTTTAATTCAGTGTGTCTTAGCAATCAAGATAAACTGTAAGAATAAGTTCTGTTCTGATTTCCAGTGCAAAATACACCTTTGGAAATGCATGGGTGTGTAGACTGATTTTACATGTGGACAGAATGTGTCATTCTTACATGGTCTCTTTGATCTATGCTTGTGAATAGGGACGCAGAGGTGCCATCTTTTATAGATGGATAAGGACTGATTGCTATCTGTAAAGGAATTTTCACACATGTGCATCACAGATTTACAATCCATCCATTTTCTAATCCTCTTGAGGGTCGCAGGGGGAGCTGGAGCCAATCCCAGCTGACACTGGGCGAGAGGCAGGGTACACCCTGGACAGGTCGCCAGACTATCACAGGGCTGACACATAGAGACAGACAAGCATTCACACCTACGGAAAATTTAGAGTCACCAATTAACCTATCCCCAACCTGCATGTCTTTGGACTGTGGGAGGAAGCCGGAGTACCCGGAGAACACCCACACTGACATGGGGAGAACGTGCAAACTCCGCACAGAAGGGCTCCCACACCCGGGATTGAACCAGGAACCCGACAGTGCTAACCACCACACCACCGTGCCGCCAGATTTACAATTAAACAAGTAATTTCCTTGAGATGTGATACATGTCTTCCCTTTGTTTAACATTACTCCAATGGAGTTTGGGGTCTTACTATGAGAACTGTGTTACCTATTTTGAAATAGGGTGTGAAAAACATGTGAAACCAATGAAAAAGTGTTCAGACATTTGACAGAGAAGACCTCTGACAAATCCATACTTTACACATTTGTATGTGCATTTACTACATATGTGACAAAACTTAACTGCAAACTACCAACGTAATGTCCTGCATACAGAAAAGGTTTAAAAAGAGAAGAGTCTGAAGAGTTTTGCAAGACTTGTTTGCTTTAGCAAGAGACGTAAAATGTTTTGCTGGTTTGGTGTAATGTTTTATGGCCAGTGTGTAGAGTGCCTAAGCAATCAGAAAACAACTGTGTTTGCTCAGCATATTCATGTATTTTAATCTAACAATGTCTCTGAAAAAAATCAAACCCAAAATGTATCATTAGAAAAATAGAAAAGTTTAAAGTGTTTCAGATTAGACACAGTAGTGTGTAACCGGTTCAGACAGAATCAGATCGTATGAATCATGTGTGCCATACGCGTTCAGAAGTTTTATCATTCATTTTGGTCGGGCGCGTTTTGTTTTCGGGTTGTTCATCCATCTGTCCTTCTGTCCTATTCTTGTGAAAGCCATATCGCCATCAGGGAATTTCTTCAAATTTGGCACAGACTTCCACTTGAACTCCAGGATGAACTGATACGATTTTGGGGGTAAAAGGTTAGGGGTCACTGTGACCTTCCAAAACAAGTTTTTGGCCAAAACTCAAGAATTCAAACACTAATTATGGCAAAATTTAACACAAATGTCTGATAGGATAAAATGACCAAGATCAGTTTGGCTGTGGCATCAACATGTTATGCAAAAATACTTTCTGGCTATTATTCAATGGCATAACTCAGGACAAGAGGGCGAGACATTTGGTCAGATACTGAATTGGTGACACTAAGCTTAAGTGCTGATTGTATAGATTCTCTGTGCTGCCAGGTTGAAGATGTGCGTGAAGCATCCATGCTTAGAATATGTAGCTTTGTTGCAGAAACATCAATATTTGAAGCACCGTCACCTGTCACGGCTACGTATGAGCCTGGACAGACCTGGATGTTAGCTGTTTCATTTTGCAGATCTGTGCTTGGTTGTGTGAATAGTGTGCAGCGTTTTGACAAACTGTGCCTTCTTTTCAAAATCGTGCTTAAGCATTTGTTAAGAAAACAAACTGTAAGAGCAGACAGAGGGAGACACAAGGAGTTTTACTGTGTGTCCATGATTCTCTCCGGCTACTCAGTATTTGAGAGTCTTTCTCTGACATGATGAATCACTCCTCTGAAGCAGCTTTCTCTGGAGTATCAGCCTGTGATCAGTGATAACCATCCTTTCCAAGCTCTCATGTAGGCGACAGCGCAAGTGCTGCTCCCTGACTAATTCAGTGTGATTTGGATGAAAAATGAAGGTATCCGCAGATATTGCCTGTCTGCATTTGAAGTCCATCCATAAAAGAAAAAAAAAATCTATCCAGTTTTTACAAGCACTTTGTTTTGTTGGAGCAGATGACGTAACAGCGAATAAATGTGGGATAATTCAACTCTGAGTGCAGTAATTCACCAAAACTTAATAAAATAACTGGGTTAAAAACGTTATTAAAATTTCTAATGTTCCTGATTCTCTCATGACATCATCAAATCCCAGTGCAGAAATTACTACATTGGCTGATAATGTAGTAATTACGATGAATGCAATAACTGCAGTTATTACACACACAGTTATTAACAAAAAAATCTCACTGACATGTTTCTGGATTAATTACATGTTTGGCTCATTTAGTGCTGCATTTAATTACAGATATCAAGCTACTACATCATCGGCAGTTATTATATTGTCAGTCACTACATTCATATTTTACACTGCACTTCTTGAAGTATGTGCACCACACTGCGACTTCACTGCTGCTCTCTGGGGCTGTTCCTGCAAAAGTGTTTTTTTCTTTCTGAAGTCGGTGGTAAGGGGGGAAAATGAGGCCTCAAAGAATGCTTTGTCTCTGCCTGAACTTTGTGGGTGAGAGTGCCCCTCTCCCATTGCACACACACACACACACACACATGCACACAAAGAGAGGGAGACAGCAGAGGGAGTTGAGCAGAATCCCCCTGGGATACCCTGCTGTTGTGCTGAATATCAATGAGAAAAAGAGGAGGCAACAAGTTTGAAGTTTGTGCAGCTGCTATTCAGACATGCAACATGTTTTAAGTGTACTAATCAGGGAGGAATGTGTTTGTAATTCAATGTAACTCTGCCTGTGTTCAGGCCAACACTGCCTTGATTCTGTGTAGTTCTGAAACAAGTCCTTCTGCACAACAATTTCAAGGAAGAATCACTTTAGTATATGAGTGCACTCTACATCTCCTTTCCCCTTTCTTTCATTTTCATCTTATTTGTTTATGATGCTTTCTTTTTTGTGTGTACTTACATCTCGTTTACTGTATTGTTACTGACTAAGTTGTTGCAATGACCTTTTGTACAAACGTATTGATGGGATCTTCACTGAGGTGTGAGAGGAAAAGCCCTTGATGGGATGTTCCAAGAGCGTCTTTGTATAAATAGCTCAGTAGTAACAGACTCAGAGAGGGAAAGGGAGGGATGGGTGGAGGAGGGGGAGGGACTGGCTGATGATGAGCAGCCACACTGACAGTAGCATCTCCGCTCTGTCGCCCTGCGCCTGTCAGCAGTCACTGGGAACCGGCCGGGACTCCGCCAGCTTGACTTCATTAACAGTCCGGTGCTGACCGCTCGCGCGTGTTGACCAGCCATATCGCCAAACGGTCGGGCAGAGTTTGGTGACCTACTTCGAGGCAAAAGTTCCCGCCTCACAAACAATTTGGCGAAGTTGCTGTGGATCGGTGTGCATTTTTGAGAGTTTAATACGTTTTGCAGCTGGTACTCGCGGAGGAGAGCGCATGGACACCGGACACCTTGAGGGAAGAGTTAGGTAGGCTGGTGTATGAAATATTCATGTGCTTCGAGTGATACAGCAAATATGCAAACAAGAAAGTAAAACACTGAAACATTAATAGATGCCATCTGGTCATTTTTTGAAGCTTTCCACGCCTTATCTAAAGTCTTTTACGCAGTAATCTGAAAAGTATGCTTGTTGTATGCGTTATTGGATGTTTTTAATCTCTTATGGATTCACAACAGTTAAATGAATTGTCTTCATTACTAAGAAAAGTGCCTGAAAGTATTAAAACTGTATAGGCTACAATATATAACAGTGTTTTAATAAGCTACTATAGTTTTAACTGAGGACAACCAATGATTAAATGTCTCTTTATGCCCACAGACAAATCACCAACTACATGCTCAGATGGTAAAAACAGTGTCAGCACTCAACATTGTTTATTCCCCCCACATCATAGTGAAGTTGTTGGCCATGCAGCTGCTTTTCTCAAATGAGCACTGGGAGTAAGGGAGGCCGTTCAGTCACATGAGATGGAGGTCACTCATTCTAATAGTCCACTGCTAGCTGATGCATTATGCACAAGCATTTGTTTTCCATGTTTTCACTGCAGGCACAAGCCTGTGAGTGTGGTCGGATCCCCGCATTCAGTGCCCATTTGGCTGCCCTTACTGTAAGCAGGTAGTCTTTGTTGTAGGCTATATTTGCATGCATTTACATTAGATTGTTTGCATGTGCACAAAGGACCATTATGTGGGTCAATGGCACCATTCACAAACACTGGCTCATGCTGTATTTTGCTGGTGCATGACACCAGCATCAAAATTAAGCTTAACTATTTCCTTCTACAGCCACAGATCACAGGGCTGTTACGCAACAGATGGACTGTAGTTATCTGTGTATTGATTGTGGCCATGGGTCATGAGTGTCCACGTGATGTGGTTTGTGTAGGGTTGTGTGTGGTGTGTTAGTCAAGTGCTGTTTTGATCTTTGAACCTTCAAATCTACCAAAACAATCATTCAATCAATCAAATTCATTAACAGTTACTGACATGTTATTTTCTGAATGCTGTGTTGTGGGAAAAAAACTCATTTTGCGTAACGCATTTTGGTCACCAGCTGAAACAGAGCGATCTTGTATTCAGAGGAAACATATTTATCTTGCAAATGAGAACAAATTACCCATGTAGTTATTAAAATTTGAACCACTATCATCTTTTTTTGGAAGTGTGGGTTATAAAAATGTCATATAATTGGTGATAATGAACAACTGGTGTGACTGCTGCCCGTTTTCTTGTTATATGCACCACTGATTGTCTGAAATCAATATGAGCATGCAAACAGCCCTCTGTTCCAATGCATTGCTCACACTCATTTCTCTCTCTAACATGCACACACGCATACATGCAGACTCTTCCTCGTCACATCTCCCTGTCATCTCACAGCCCACACGCTCCTCACTTTTGCTCTAATTGAAATCGTAAATAGAATACGCTTCATTTAGTGTCACCTAACTTCTGGGGAAAAAAGTTCCCCAGCATGTTTTGGAAATATTCTGCAGAGCAGTGAGGGGCAGTTTTATTGACTGTAGTCCCAGTTAGTGATTATAAGGGTTCATTCCCCACAGTGATGCCACCAGCATCTTGAGAGGGACCCATCTGGTGCAAACAGAAACCGACTTCATGTGCTGGAGAGCAGATCAAATGCATCACTGCCACCTACTCTGACTTAGAGACATCCATCTTTATTTGGCTTGGTCATAAAATGCCTATAAAGGGAAGGATAACTTCGAAATGAATTCTCAACAGCAAGCTTGGACTGTTGCGGTACTGCCCTCAGTTAGAGAGAGGAGGGAATAGGGGGTCTCATTAGAAATGCATTAGAGGGAAGGGAGAGAGGTAGAGAAGCGAGGAGATGAGCTTGAGTTTTTATCTGTTAAACTCTAAGAAGGAAAAATATTCACACTCTCCAGCTCATGCTCGATACTCTCCCTCTCTGTCAGTCTCTCCCTCACACACACACGCATACCAGTACACCTCAGTGACCCATTTAATGCCAGCCACAAAACTGGCAACTGTATTCCCACACGTTCCTCCTGAAAACACATTACTGCTGAAACTCATTCAAAATAATTCGGTGAGAAAAAGTGCTTACTGGCACCTTCTTTATCAGTTTAATAACTTCATCGCTCCCTGCCTGTGTAAAGGAAACAAGACCCAAAAAAAAGGATGTTTCAACACAGATCCACAGCTGAAAGGCACTCTCCTGTCCCATAATACTCTCCTATCATCCACAGATTATTACACATAACAAAGTCCTGAGAACAAAATTTTCTCTGTACCTTTCTGACACTTTCCCTGTACAAGTCCTGAGATAATATGATAACACTCTATAGTGTAGCTTTATTAGAAACCCTTGTAATGCCTTTAAAAAACAGCTTGAGAATAAAAACGCTTACGTAGTTACTGGACATACATAGGTTGTTCCATGCAAAGTGTCAGCAGGGATAAAACCACCTTGACCTAGTGACTAGCTTGTCAGGGAGAAAGTAATCTTTACTGAGCTGACCTCAGCAGGCCCATGTGACAGGTGCAGGTTAACTGTGGCCAAGTATGCGAACACACATGGGTGTAGACTCTGGGGGAAAGCACGAGGGCTTTTATTTTGACAAAATCAAAGACAAGTACACCATATATTGATGCATCAATGGCACAAAATGGTGAATTTAAAATCACTAGTATGCAGGAAATTAAAGGAGAACTTCACCCATTTTCAAAATTCATACATTTTGTTCCTATGGTGTGCTAAAACTCAAACTTGTCATGTACATTGGTGCCCCCCAGGGGTGTGTACTGGGCACGCTCCTCTATTTTCTCTACACCCATGACTGTGCAGCCTCCCACAGCTCTAACTCCATTGTTAAGTTTGCTGATGACACAGTGGTTCTTGGCTTAATTTCCAACAATTTAACATTTGCACATGCACTTTACAGACAATACAATTCATTCCAGATAACCTATTTTTAGTAACCTGACACTTTTTAAAGGGATAGAATGTTCTACATTTTTATGTTCTACATTTGTTTTTTGTCTTATTTATTCTGTTTTTAGGCACAGTTGGAGATGTTACATTTTTACATTTCACTACTGTTTGCATGTGACGAATAAACTACTTGAACTTGAACTTGAACTTGTCATGGGATAAAAAATCTGGAGCTGCTCCACAGACAATGACTCTAAAGAAATGTTATAGATGTCACTGAGAGCACTCAGGGGGATGTTTTGAGTATATGGGCACATTTTTTGTTTCACAACCAAAAAAAAACTTCAAGAGAAGATAATTTGGGTGTAAGAAAGAAAGTTTCTGTGGATCCATAAAATCAGTCTCCTATTCATTGTTAGTGGAGCAGCTTATACTTGATGTCATCACAAGTTTGAACTCTCTTCGGCCATGGAAGCAACATATTGGAATAATTATGTGGGTGATGTTCCTCTTTAAGTATTTGATACTCAAAATGTTCTGGCTGGGGACCCCCTGTTTCATAATTCTCCCCAGTGCTGAAACGAAAAACCTACACCCTTGCTAACATCTGTGTGTGTGTGTGTGTGTGTGTGTGTGTGTGTGTGTGTGTGTGTGTGTGTGTGTTGTGTGCATGCGTGCATGTTCTAGGAAACTAAACTATGCTTTCTATTTTGCTTTCTTTTCAGGGAGACTCTGTGACCGACCTGTGAGAGGTGTGATGTGACCTGAGTGTGGAGGCTGCAGTCCAATCAAGTATGGAGCATGATCTGAGGATGGGCCTGTCTGTCTGGGCCATTATAGCCATCACTTGTAACTCAGTGGTGGGCGTCCTCATCCTCATCCTCTTCGTCATCCTCTACAAGGCCTGCAAGGTGCCTTCACACCAAGAGAAACTGCCAGTTTTCAAAGCGTTGCCGGAGCAGAAGAAGGCTGAACAGAAGTACCTGCTGACTGCAACCTGATCATGGCAGACAGACTCGGGATGTGGACATATTTCAACTTTGTTTATCCAGTAGAGTCCAAAAGATGAGTCATGGAGTGTTAGAATACCAGCTGGACTCTGAACTTTGAGTAACCTTCAGTATTTCTCTTCCTCTTCAACTGCTCATGTCATTATTTTCACTCAGTAACTCCTACATGATCACATTTCTCCGCCATCAGCCCCTCATCTACGCCATTCAGCGCAGCTCAGCGTGAGCTAACTGCATTAAGAGTTGTGGCAAGGCCAACAACAACAACAAGCCGACCCAATCCTCTTATCTCTGCTGTGCTTCGCTGGGACTGTCCATCTGTCAGTCTGTTTGCTTTGCTCTACACAGGCAAACCATGATCTCCTCCTCTACTCCATCATTTTTCATCCCTCAGTATGACTCAACAGAGAGTATGTGGGGGAGAAACTGTAAAGACACAATGGATTGTAAAGGGACAGTTTTGGGTGATGGGGTTGGTTGAGTCACGATGACATGTTAGAGGTAAGGAGAGAAAGTAGCCCACAAACAGCTCGGTGTTTGCCAGCTGCGGCACTAATGACGGCAACGGCAGAGCTGCCAAAACCAAAAAAGCCTGAAAGAATCAGGAGAGGAGAGAGATGCTGCCAGAGAAAGTGTTTGAGAGTCACAACAGGGCGGAGAGGGAGACAGACGGAGATAAAGGAGTCATATTTGGTGGGGATGATAAAGTGCAGGCGAAGAATCAGAGAGCATTTGATGCTTTGATGTGTTGTTTACAGGGAGGGAGCTCCAGGCCCCTGTTTGACAGTCTCCCTGTTTGACACACAAGTCTCCGCTTCCACCGATCTGACTCCCGTGGGATTAAAAGCAGCAGCAAAAACGTTACTCCTGTCCCCAGTGTGCCTCGCTTTCATTTCATGAGTTCCTCTAAAGACTGAATAAGATATTTATAGACAGCCTTCACCAGAAAGGACAGACTGACTGAAGATTCACAGTCTCACGGTAACGAGTGAATAATGTATTTACCGGGGTGTACGTACTGCAGCTTACACACTAACTGTGTGATATCAATACTGTCTAAAGGAAGAGAGGAAATGTGACAAGCCGATGATAAGTCTATCTCCAGAGTAAAAAGTGCTGCATAGCTCCACTTGTTTTTGTCTGGTACGGTAAATACAATGTTGATTATTGAAAGGGCTTTTCATGGAAACGTGCTTTTATTTTGTGCTGGAGAGACAAAAATCTAATCTCAGGTATGAGTTGACTTACTAAAATAAGAATATGCTGATTTTACTTTCATGCAGCATTTTCTATTCTACGTATTGATCTTTCTGCGCAGCTCACATGTAAGACTGAACAGTAATTTGTGCTCAAAGAACTCATTTGGTATCTGATAATTACTCCGAATTGAGCTTCAGGCACTTCTTTTTTAAGCTCTTAAGGACTCACTGAAGACTGTGAAAGCTTGCACTGGTCATTTGTCGATTTGTTTTATCTCTATGGATTAAATGATCAAAGATTAATCAACAGAATAACTGATCTTGAAAGTATGTGTTGCAGCCCCACACTTTACAGACTAGCTATTGTTTCACTGTGGTTATTGCCATCTTGCTCTATGCCTTGTGTTACTGATGACAGTTCATTTTTGACTGGCACAATAAAATGATTTACTCTTGTTTATAACCAATGTGGTGCACAGTCATTGTTTCCATGTTTCCAAATTCTTTAAACATGAGTGCTTGAATAAAAAATGATAATTGACTTCAGCTTCCCGCACTGAAGTAATCATTGAGGAACATATTGACCTCGACAGCGACCCACATCCTGTTGTCAGTCAACTACACCCATATAATCCTTATCCAGTAACCACATTATAACGGAGTAAGAGGGGCGAATTCTGCATCTGATTATACAGATATGAGTTGATGGAGAGTAACTTTGTACATTTACTCAAGTACTTAAAGTAAGAGCAATTTTTAGGTACTTGTACTTGAACATTTCCATTTAATGTTGTTCTTGTTATTTCTGCTTCATTGCATTTCAGGGGAATTTATTGGACTGCTAAAGAGGTCAGTGTCGTAGTACTTGAGATTTCAAGACCACTTTTTGAAGGTCTTGTCTCAACCCCAGCCACTTTTTTATTTGGTCTTGTCTCAGTCTTGAACAAAGAGCACTCAGGATTTTATTTGAAGGCTAGTTAAGACCACAACTGCAGGGATGTCACAAAACTGCCTGTGTTAAAAAGGAGTGTTTGTCTGTTTATATTTGTTTGCTCATAAAAAAGGAAAATTCCCATACTTTAAATTCACCCCTGCACATCTTTTAATTATTTTATCAAGACATTTTTAATGGTACACTTATATATAGTATGCCAATAATAAAAGAGGTGTTTTTAGGGGAAGGGCCTATAGTTTGCATGTTCCACATTTTTTTCACAGTGTGGGACTCGCACTTGTCTGGTCTCGGTCTTGACTTGGTCTCAACCCCTTAAAGTCTTGGTCATGTCTTGGTCGTGGTTTAGGTGGTCTATACTACAACACTGACAGAGATTATCTCATAAAACACAACACAAGGTGATACATTAACCTACCCAGCAACATCTTACTTTACAATGACGAAAACTCTTTTTTTTGGGTGTTTATAATGACGAAAACTCTTTCTGTGGGTGTGTGTGTAGGTAGAAGGTGACAAAGCTACCAATGGGTATGGACTAGTATATAATGAATAAGAGTGGTACAAAGAAATAATGCATTAGTTATTGTTTAAGATGATAATAATAATAGAGAGAATTTCTGCTTGCAATGGAGTATCTGTAATGTAGGGTACTTGTACATATGTGAACCATCTGAAAACCTCTGTCACCACATCATAAAGGCAGCAGGTTGGTCTTCACTGATTCAGTTTGTTTTAGGTGAACTACTAACAAGATCACAGATGTTAGGTGATGAGATGAAGAACAGTGTAATGTTATTTGATTATGAGTACATGTATGCATGTATGGGTAAAGCAGTGGTTTACAGCACGTATGAGACAGATGGTTGGGGCTTTTGGTGGGCTTTTGATTTCAAACTGATCATCAGAAAGGCGGCTCTACATCTGTCTAGTGTTTATCTGCTTCCCTTCTATTCATGTGCCTGCCAGTTCCTCTCTCCCTCGCTCTTTGGCTGTCTTCCTCTTATTTGTTTTTCTATTCCCAACGAACCAGACTGGTGCCAGACCTATGCAAGCCACCCAGCGCACATCCAGTGATCTCCTCCACAGTGAGCTGGATGTGAAGGTCAGTATGCTGACACTCACTGTTTTTGAACCTCCTTTTGTGTTTCCAAATCGGATCTTCTACTGAAGAATGGAGTTCGTGAATCGATCCTGCGTGATGCCAGTGAAAGAAAACATTGAATAAGTATCCATCTTGTTCTCCTGCCCATCATGCTTCCATCGATCCCTCCATGTCTGGTTTGATGGTCTGACATGCGACTGAACTTTGCATCAGTCACTCCATCCCTCAATTTCTGGGAATGCATTATACAACTGCAAAGCAATTTTCAGTGTCGTCCAATGGAAGGTGAGGTGGAAGAGTGTCACTGAACTCAGCACGGTGTTATGTAATGATCAGAACAAATATTACACACAGAGAGATTACTAATAAACATATGATGGGTCAGTAATCTGTGGCTCCATCTGCACGGTTGGAGGGGTTGCATTAACCCACATCAGCCCAGACTGACTCATTGTCGGTGTTTGTGTTTCTGTCTGCATGTGTTAGTGTGTGTGTGTGTGTGTGTGTGTGTGTGTGTGCGCGCGCGCGTGTGTGTGCATGCTTGCGTGTGTTTGAGCTGTGTAATGCAAGAGGTTGAATGTTAATCTCCCTTTTGGACACGACATGCCCAAAAATTGTGTGGTATTTTTAAACTTTTTGAATGTTATGTAATCTATAATTCAATTTAGAGGCTCCAAATAAAACATGTCTAGTGTGCGTTTGTGTGTATGTGTGAGACAGAGCGAGACAGAGAGTGAATCTAAACATGTAACTGTTGCTTTAAGGCCTTTTGTGGTCAAGTATAAATTCATGCAGTACAGTGAGTACTGTGCAGGGAGGGATACATGCGCGTGCTGAGATCTTACTGACCTTGTGTACAAATAACTGAGAAAAATCCAATCACACCTAATCAGATCTTCATAACAGCACCCCTACAGGGTCATGAACAGTCATGACAATAACACGCACACAGAAACGCAGCCATTAAAACGATTTTGACAAAGGCACAACTCTGATATTAAATTGTTATAATTCAGTATGAATGTGTATTCTGTCAACAGAGGTCTAATTATCGCAAGCTGAAATAATGAGCGTGATAGGAAAAGCACCAGTATGCATGATTCAGCAGAAAAAAACCCAGAAACATAGTGAGTGCATGTGAAACGTATGGGACAAGGGCGTGAGGAAAATTAAAGAAAATTAACTCCTTTCATTTTTTTTTTTTTTTCCCACAAACTGACCTCCAGATATGCTGCTGTAGTCATATCTATTCTATATGCATAACCTGAAGTATGGACCTCAAACTGTTTGCACTTAGCACACTAAAACACTATGACCCACTTGACCCTCCACATATCTCATTGGCATTCATCCTCCATCCATCCTGAGTCTCTCCTCTCCTGTAGAATTAGACTGCCACCTGCTGGCTACTCTTTTAATATTTGCTGCCTCCAGTTGTAACCACCTGGTGTTAGCTGCAGCAGCGGCTGACCGCTGCCAAGACCCTTCTCCATTATTGTGCAGCAGAGCATGCTATTGCTGCTCTCTGCTGGTATTTCCAGGTAAGGACAATGTGCAGTCAGACATGTCCGTGACTTTCAATGAGAACGAGGCACTGTGTTGGGGATGCTCTTCTGGCAGGCCACCATTAGCCAGAGGTTGTGTTGTTTTCACCAGAATGTTAATGTGCTCCACGATGGTCATTTGATTGCTTGATTCAGTGTTTGTTTTAAGATATATGAAAGAGAAAACTGTCTATTCTTCTTGCCAAAATGTATGGTCGTCCAATAACAGGTGATAGATCAACCCCTTACCTACGGTAGATAATCTACAGGGACACACAGGGAATTAAAATAATTGAATAAATCCTATGTCTGTGAAGTTTATAATGTTTTTGTTGTTGCTGACACTTTCAGAGAGGTGCAGAATCAACTCTGTGTTCAATTTCCAGGCAGCACTTGCTGTGGTTCAGTGCTGGAAGAATTGTTTACTACTTCAGTAAAAGTAATACTATAATGTAAAAAATATTCTTTTATATATATACTGTATTAAAACACTTCCTGTCAAAGTTCTGTATTCAAAATCCTACATAAATAAAAGTGTTATCAGTGATATATCAGTAATAATACTTGTAAAAGTAAAAGTACCCGTCAGAATGATCTTAGTAAAGATAGAAAAGTGTCATTTCTAGGCCTTAACTGAAGCATAAGTGTACACAAAGCTCTGAAATGTTGTAGCTGTTCAAGATAAAGCTCATTCAAACTACTTTTTATACCCTTTAGTAGTTTATTCTGTAACAATGCTTTGTATTTTATAAACAGATTTTTTTTTAATAAAATCTAAATCTAAAAAAGCAATGTGTGAAGTAAAGTAAAGTAAAGTGTAGCTGTCAAACAAAAGCAGTAAAATAAAGTGTATTTCCCTCTAAAATCTAGTGTAGGTATAAAGTAGCATAAAAAAACTACTTATCCACGACTTGCTAGTGCTAGTTGGCATTGTTTAAGATTTTGTACCAACATTTATCATTTAGATGTATCAGTTACAAGGTCAGTATTGTATTTAGTTTGTTGTTGTTGTGTTTAATATTTATTCATTGTATTTTAGACTTACTTCAACATCCCAGCAAAAGTCTTGCTCCTTGTTCATAGCCAGCAGGGAAAGAAGACTGAGGCTCCCTCCGCATATAAAATACCACAATGTAACAATACAATGATACAAAGGCAGCTAATGTATTTTTAACTCCACCGGTCCTGCATTCAAATTTACTTCAGTAAAACTACAAGTGCCATGGTGTAAGGTAGTTACGATGGGTCCCAGTGCACGCTATTATGATGGGCCCTAGTGCACGCTATTGTGCACATATTGTCTCATCATGTGAGTCTTGACATTGGATAACATCAACATATATGTTACTCAGCAATCATCACTGCATATTTGTATAATATAAATACGAAATAAATTTTATTTAGCAATTGTAATAGTTGATTTCTAGTGATATAGAATATTTGATTTATAGAATAGGTGATTTTGTCAAAAATAAATTTAATTAAATTAAAAGAATAAAGATGACAGAGATGGGTTTGCCTTTTTCAAGGGCATATATAGCCAATGGCAAGTGTTTTTTCAAGGTAGCAATCACTCATAAGGGCCCTCTTTCTATGGGCCTCCAACCTCAGGGGCCCCAGTGCAACCACACTGCTTGCACTATATATATTTATGCCCTTATGCTTGTGTATTATCAGCTAAATTTACTTACAAAGCAACAGCACTCATAATGCACAACAGCCAGTGTGATTATCATGTATGTCATATTACTGGAATATTACTGTTGATGAACATGGAGACATCATTTTATGGTTAGCTGAGTTGCTTGTTGGGTCGTTTAATCTAAAACAGTGGATCATATTTTATTCATTGATCATATGATTTTTTTTCAGAATTACAATCTGTAAAGTAACTATATTCTGCAGATGTTAGATGAATGCGGTGGATTCAAAAGCACATTTCCCTCTGAAATGCAGTGAAGTGTTATGTATACTCAAGTGAGGAACAGGTAAATTGTAGTTCATTGTACATGTAAATGTGTTCATGGGAAACAGGACACTGCGTGATGAGGCAGAACGCTGTCATGACTGTACCACAGCGCCTTGATTGGTGACTGAGGTTGTTTAAAGTCATATAAACTAAGTGATCCTAATTGTTCAGTAGGAAACCAAAAATTCAATTTCATTAATGTCATTAGACGGGATGATGATTTGACCTACATTCCCTATCACAGACCACACAGGTTATAAATGAATTCCCCATTACAAATATCACTGCTGTTTTTTGTTAGATGTGTGTTTTGTCCCTGTCCAACTCATTTCTGGCACTGTAATTAATTGGCTCCCAGCTGTTCATTTGATAGAGTAATTTATTCCATTTTAATTGAAATTCCTGGATGAAAACAATTGTTAACTGGCTTTCAGAATGATGGGATGTTAAGCGGTCTGTGTCTGATCTTTTTAGTATTTTTGTAATAAAAGAATGTCTTGTGTGTTCACTCATTCACAAGGTTCCTGCTGGAGTTTGAACATCAAACGCTGCATTTTTTATCATGACTGCCAGAACAGAGACTCCTTTCAAGAAGATTTATTTTGTTTTTAAAGATGTTAACAATGGAGATGGTTAATCCTCGGATCAACTGACTTCTTTTATTCAATTAAAAGAGCTCTAGAAGATACTAGAAGATACTAAAAGAATTAACATAGCAGCAAACAACTATTTGCTATGTAAAAATATAGTGAAGTCATGAGCAGAGAATGAATTCCAATCCATCTCTGTGTGTTGTAATTGTTTATAACTTAAGTTTTTTGAATTTCAACAACACCAAACCACCTCAAAAGGAAAAAATCACCAGGCAGAAAATAAACAAAATAGGCAAGGATTGACTTATATTAATAGATAAAATTAAAGCAAATAAACCATAATGATAAAAATAATAAACTGAGGTAAATCAAAACAACACTATTAACATGACATGTAAGTAAACTTGTCAGAGTCCAACCGTACCACTGTTAAATGTCCACTCACTGTACATAAACGATAAGTGTCAAAATAGTGTCAGTGTAACAGTGTCCATATGTATATATATTTCCTCAGGATGTGCCATCGCCACACCCACCCTCCTGCACTCATTAAAATCTCAACAAGAGCTGTACGCACTACCGACGATGTATGTTATGGGCCTGGTACTTAGCAAAATCAAGTGTGTTCACTGCCCCCCCCCCCCTCCCGTAGTGAGTGGAACTGCAGAAACATTCCCCATTTATTATTATATTTCTCTACCTCATTTATCAGGCTTTAGAACATTTTCTCAAAAGCTGCCACTTTATCCATTTCTGACAACCATTCTTGAAATAATGGGCCTTCTACAGTTTTCCATTTTCTCATTTTCATCTGTTTACCAATTTAAATACTTGTCTGAATCCAATTTGCTAGGGGTTTTATGATGTGGTCAGTGGGTTGAGGATTTCCAAGTATATACACAACAGGACAGAACTCATAATCCACCCCGCAACCTCTGAGATGTACTCATGTACTCCAAAAGCCATGTACTGTTGAGCATGACCACAGTGCATGGACTAAGTGACCCACCACCCCACTACACCTCCAACAATCTGGTGTTTCTTTTAAACCCAGTCTGAATAACCTGCAAGGATACCAGTCGAATCGATGGAAAATTTTGAATTGTATTAACCTTATTCTGTTTACCCCCACCATTAGCTCTGTAAGCACTGTTGCCGTTGTTAGCACTGTTGGTGCCGTTCAGCCATCTCAGCCACCTCCATATTGAGAACGGTGTGGAGACAACCTCTCAATCATAAACACACTCTGAACAAAAAACCCAATTGTCAGAACAAATTGTGGCATTTTACATTCCTGCAAGCCAAGGATACATTACATTTGCACATTATTATGGTGCATACACACTGAAACACTGAACAAAGCCGTCATTAATATGTGGTTAGGTTAAGATACAAATACCACTTGGTTATGGTTAGGAAAAGATCACATTTTGGCTTAAAATACCCAGTTTTGGGGGCACAATTCCCACTGGAGAAGCAGCGATGTCTCAGTGAAACAATAACAAAAAAAAAAACAACTTGCTTTTTACTATTTCAGAAAGAAAAACAATGACATCTCATGCTGGAAAAACACTCACAGGTCACTACAAAACACCCACACTGGGTACACGAAAAGCCAATGGAAACACAACAATGACTCATTGAAACACAGCCTGTTTTGATTGTCTCAAGCAGTGCATGGTCTGCAGCTTGGCATTTGTCTCGCCAAGGTGGCACACCATCCACCATACCCCTACATACACTCACCACCCACTTTATTAGGCACACCTGTCCAACTGCTTGTTACCGCAAATAGCTAGTCAACAAATCATGTGGCAGCATCTCAATGCATTTAGGCATGCAGACATGGTCAAGACGACCTGCTAAAGTTCAAATTGAGAATCAGAATGGGGAAGAAAAGTGATTTACGTGACTTTTATCATGGCATGGTTGTTGGTGCCAGACGGGCTGGTCTGAGTGTTTCAGAAACTGCTGATCTACTGGGATTTTCACACACAACCATCTCTAGGGCAGCAGAAGACTACACCAGGTGCCACTCCTGTCTGCTAAGAACAAGAAACTGAGGCTACAGTTCACAGGGGCTCACCAAAACTTGAATAGAAGATTGGAAATACCCTGCCTGGTCTGATGAGTCTGGATTTCTGCTGCGACATTCAGATGGTAGGGTCAGAATTTGGCATAAACAACATGAAAGCATGGATCCATCCTGCCTTGTATCAGCAGTTCAGGCTGGTGGTGGTGGTGTAATGGTGTGGGGGATATTTTCTTGGCACACTTTAGGTCCCTTACCAACTGAGCATGGTTTAAACACCACAGCCTCCCTGAGTATTGTTGCTGACAGTGTCCATCCCTTTATGACCACAGTCTACCCATCTTCTGATGGCTACTTCCAGCAGGATAACGCGCCATGTCACAAAGCTGAAATCATCTCAAACTGGTTTCTTGAACATGACAATGAGTTCACTGTACTCCAATGGCCTCCACAGTCACCAGATCTCTATCCAATAGAGCACCTTTGGGATGTGGTGGAACGGGAGATTCACATCATGGATGTGCAGCGGACAAATCTGCAGCAACTGCGTGATGCTATCATGTCAATATGGACCAAAATCTCTGAGGAATGTTTCCAGCACCTTGTTGAATCTGTGCCACGAAGAATTAAGGCAGTTCTGAAGGCAAAAGGGGTCCAACCCCGTACTAGCAAGGTGTACCTAATTAAGTGGCCGGTAAGAGTATTCCATCACTTAAGAAACATTAATATGATGCAAATTAAATGCACAAATGTAATGTATTCATAGTTGGCAGAAATACACAATGCAAACCTTTGTCTTCTGGCAACTGAGCTGGCTTTGGATATGGTATAGAGCTATTTTATATTTTATTTTGGACATATCTGTTACTCCAGAGGTGCAAAAAGGAAGACAAAAATAATAAACAAATAAATAGGAGAAACAAATAAAACAGGGTTCCTCACAAACATAGTCATACCATATCATAGTGAATTCCTCACATCATATCTTCATATTACAAATTACAGTGACATTAATCTATTGCCAGAGGTGGAAGAAGGACTAAAATCTTTTACCTAAGTAAAAGTAGCAACACCACAGGGTATAAATAGTCTGTCAGAAGGAGAACACCATGCATTCAAAATGTTAATTAAGTACAAATATTAGCATCAAAATAGACTTAAAGTACCAAAAATAAAAAATACTCACTATGCCAGATGGCCCATTTCAGATCAATTACATATCAAATTTATTGGATTATAGTTATTGATGCACTAATGTGTATAAATCATTTTAGTGATGCAGCTGGTAAATGAGTCTAATATTGGTTATTTTACATTTAGCTGGGAAGCTTGTGAGTCTTATCTTGATATTCAATAAGTCATCATCATTTATCTGTTAATTGTTTTGTATAATAATCACAATCTGCAAAGTACTTACTTTGACTAAAGTTATATGTTGAATGTTGTGGAGTAAAAGAACCAATATTTATGTAGTAAAAGTAGAAAGTATTATATATAAGTCAAGTACAAGCATCTCAAAACTGTATTTAAGTAGGCTACAGTCGCTGAGTTACTGTCTATCACTGTCTGTGCCTCACTTTGCTGGGGACCACCTTGGACCTCTCAAAAAGTCCCCTTCTGGGTCCCCGGACCCCAGCTTGGGATACCCTACCCGGAAGTGGGTGGTGGAGTCACCGTCACCCAGCTGGTCACACCACCGTCGACATACTGCCTGCTGGGATGAAGCTCGCCACCGGAGAACTACAGAGATTGTTACAAATCTGAGATCACCCACTATCTCGTCGAGAACTCGTCGGAGAGATCACTTAACCCACAGTTAGTTTCCAGGAGCAGGGAGGAAAGAGGCGCGCTGCCAAGATGATGGAAGAAATAGATAGATTTCAAGTGCCCAGTGCCGTGCAGGAGGCGGAGATGCAGGCTGAGATGCAGCCGCTGGTAAGTCACATTTGTAGGCTGTTATCAATCGGAGATAATAAATCAGTGTTTTGTTGTTTGTTTCTATTTGTGTGTCAATGTTTATCTGGGGTGTTTAATGTCTGAGGCCTTCCATTCATAATGTTACGCTGAGGGATCCCGACAGATCCATCACCTGCCATGCGTAATATTGGCTGATGTGCCGTTTAGCATTTTCAGCAAGTTTTTTCTGCCACAGTAAAAGGTTAAAACGACAGTGCAGCGTGTCAGAGGATAATTGATTTGCTCGTAGACAGACGGTTTTGTTTCTGTGTGTAATGCAAGCAGCGTCCGGTCTGCTGCGTAGTGAGCAGCATCCGTCATGTCTGGCGAAAACAAGCATCCCATCCCAACGCTGCTGTTGCTGCTGCTGCTGCTACATCCTCAGCATCCATGCAGCAAGTTGCTCCGGCTAAACGCCACTAGTGTCGTCTTGACGGGATTACTGAGCGGTTATTAATCACAGATACGTGCTTGTATGTACCGTGAAAGCACTATCTGTAGATGAAAATAATATAAAAGAAAATCAGTGTAAATGATGCGCTCCGTGGCCTGTAGCGGGGCCCTGGGTTACTGCAGCCTGCAGGGCGGCCTCTCCTGCCCACGGCCGGGGACGCTAGAGAGCCAGACTAGACCCAAAGCAGTCTGACCTGCAGCTGTCTCCAGGCGGCCCCGTGCTTCCATTCATACCCGTGCGTCATGTGGCCACTGATTAATAGGGTCTTTTTTCTCCGTTGCTGTGACCTGTGGGTATAAGATGTGAATCTCTGTTTCCCAAAATTAGATCCAGGTACTTCCAGGACTCCTCCTAGAACAAACCAGGGATCACTTTAAGTTCAGCATTTTACATTCACCATGAGATGGAAGTAGCTATGCCAAAACCTACCTATACAGGTTTACTTTATCTAGTTATCCAGAAGTATAAGTATGTAGGTGTAATTATTTTTTAAACAAGCCATCTGTATAATGCTTCATACACAGGTGTTCATTAAAAAGAGCGGGATTCTTCCTCACATGTTTTATCTATTTATGATCTGTTTTTTTTTTTCACATTGCCTGGACATAGTAGGGTGCATTATGCATAACAAAAAGGCATCAATTATTCACTCATGCCTCAGTAATGCACATTTCTGCTCATCTTTCTGTCCACGCCGTCCTGTCGTTTGTCTCCAGGACCCGGCCTCTTCCACGGCCTCAGAGGCGGACTCCGACACCAGAGAGGGGGAACCTGTCACCATCAACTACAAGCCGTCACCCCTGCAGATGAAAATAGGTGAGGAAGAGCTACGGTGTTTGTAGGCCAAGTATCTGCCTGTGGGAATCTGCATATCCTGTAATCATGTGTATATTTAAAGGCCTGGAAAGAGTCACCTGCTGTTATGTGCAGGTGTAGCTTCATCTCTAGACGAGGAAGAGACTTGTTGCAGTATTATTTTTCTGTAAGGTGATGGCATCTGAGCAGTGAATTTTCAAAGAGCTTTACTATCACAAGAAAACCCAACAATGTGGTGATATGCTGTGATTTACTTATTGTTTGTACTCAGCTCAGTTATCGGTAAAAAGTACCATATTCATTCATTTCAGATTATCTATATGTAGAAAACTGTAGAGAGCTTTTACATGTTCCCAGAGCTCAACGTGATTCCTTCAAATTGCTTTTTTTTTCTAAACAACTGTCCCATACCCCAAAAAGAATTTAATTGAGACCAATGTTTAACAGTGAAAAGCAATAAATCCTCGCTGTAATGAGCGGTGGTTTGGCATTTTTGCCTGGAAAGTAACTCAAACAATGAACTGATTATCACAGTGTATACTACATAGACTAAATGTTTTCAGCTCCTACTTTACTGCATTGCTAAGCTTATGAATGGATATCCATGGCAAAAAATATTAGCCCCTGTGGTCTGTTTAATGTCTGGGAACTTTAGTCTCTAATGTTTATGAAATGCCACAGGTCCTTTAAGGCTCATTTCAGCACCTTGGACAGAGTCCAGTCGTGAGCAGCAGCATCTCTTTCTTTCTTTTTTATTACTACCGTTATACTTTCCTTAGCCTTAAAGCTGTTGTTGGTAACTTTTATAAAAAATAACTTTTTGTCACATTTGCTGAAACTGTCACTACATCCACACAGCGGTACATGAGAGAGATGATCTGGGAAATACATCATGTTTCTCTGCCTCTTCTTAAAGTTCTAATGACATTTGCAAGAATCCTCCTCACATGAATGAAAACAACCAGTCAGAGTTGAGGGGTCTCTAACACAGTTGTCAATCATGTCAACCGCTGCTCATCAACTGCGGGCAAAATGCCACACTAGGCAATGCTTATCACAAATAAATCAAGATTTTGTTACTGAATTGCCTATTTCTCACCTCAAGTTTTTTCAGCAACATATTTTAGTGTACTGTTTAGCTGTAAAATGAGAAAGTTTGTGACCCGGCAGCCATGTTGAAAACAGTCAAGCGAAAATCAAGCACTGCCCACTGGCTGGAGCAAGCTTTCTTATTTGATCAGCGCTGCTTAGTTTGGTAGTTTGACCACAGTTCAGGAGCAGTGATTGACATGACTGACAGCTGCATGAGAGACTCCTTGGCTCTGATTGGTTGTTTTCCAACAGTGGTGGTAGCTTCTAGCAAATGCCTTTAGTAGCACTATGAGGAGGAGGGACAAGGGTTTTTTCACAGATTTATCAGTCTCATGTACCACTGTGTGAATGTAGTGACAGTTTCAGTAAATATGGCAAAAAAGTTATTTTCATAAACGTTATCAGCTTAAAAACAGCAAAAATATTTAGGAGGAGTTAACTATGAGTAAGAGAAATGCAAGAATATGGTCCTTATTAAAATGCAACTAAGCTGCTGTAGAGATTCATTTCATTCCACATCTAACGTACTTGTTGAACGTGTAACCACAATGATGGCTGCACTTGTATTTCATTGTCTTCTGTTGTTCTGTCTTTTTATGGCATGTTAACACTGTCATAAAATGTCCTGTCTATAAAACACATTTGGAGCATATTCCTTTAATCACACATGCTTGTTTAACCAGTCTCTTTGCCTTTGTGACCCCGAGGTGCTAATCTACAGTTGATGGCCTTTTAAAACTAATTTGGATTAAAAGTGTAATGCCATTAACTGGTGGCACAGTCTAAATTAGATACAACATTTTCCAGTGTCACGAATCTTTCAACTTAAGTTCAGTGCTGGTTCAGAATAGATATAAAGCATTGGTTATTTATTTGTCACCTGACCAGTTGTGAAAATCAAAGCAGGGAGAAAAGGGAGGCGAGAGTGTTTGATGTCACATGAGGAGTCTTTTGTCTCTAAATGTATTGTGTCATGCTTTGTAGATTTTGTAATGTATTGTATTACCTAAATTAAACAACCCCCTCAGCCTCATCAGCAGTGTGACCATCACTTCCCGGTCAGATGACCACTGAGAAAAATCCCTCCAGTAAACAGAAGCTGATCTACCCTGATGTCATGTCTTGCACTGTGCTGCAAAGCCTTGAGTTTGTCATCATATTCAGAAAGAAAAGATGTCACAGTCAAGTAGAATTCAGTCCAGTTCCTTTAGCTTCACACAATCATCACACCTGATGATTGTGTGTTTGTGTGAGTTGTGAAGTGTTGGAAATATCAGCTGTAGAGATGTCTGCCTCCTCTTCAGTATAATGGAACTAGATGGCTTGTGGTGCTCAAAGCACTAAAAATACATTTGAAAAATTGAACAGCAATGTCTCTTTTCTGGAAATCATGACCTGGTTACTAAAGATAATCCTTAGACCTTGTTGTGAGCAGTTTCATATAGGAACTATTTTCTTTCTACCAAACTACACCTGCCAACTGTATCACTAAACAGACAAAAGCGTGCATCTACGACTAGTAACTGAGCTAGCTCACCTCAAAGCTCAGCTGAGGAGGATGTCATCTTGTGAGCATCTCTGTCATGAGCAAGAGCCTCTTGTCCATGAGTAGATGCATTCTTCCTTCTGCGTGGTGATACAGTTAGTGGGTGTAGTTTGGTAGAAATAAAAAAGTTCCTACATGAAACTTTAAGGAGACCCATAATAAGCAAACTGCAGCATTTAATTCTTCTCTTAGAAGTTGATGACATTGGTTCAACTTTAATGCATCACTTTTTTGTGCAGTTTGTGTGTCATTTTGGAGCTGAGCTGGTGTGTGATTTCCTGTGTGTGTGTTTCTTGTGCAGAGAAACAGAGAGAGTTGGCTAGGAAGGGCTCATTGAAGAACGGCAATGCTGTAGGTAGTCCAGTCAACCAGCAGCCTAAGAAGAACAATGTCATGGCCAGAACACGGTAAGACATGAGCGCTGAGGCCTGAGAGGTTAGTGGGGAAAATGAGAAAGAGTACAACTTAAAATAAATTCTATTTTATAATAAATTCCAGTATTTGTTTCACACACATGCAGCATCACCAATAAATTGTCAACTGATTCTGTTTGTCTTACGTCATAGTGCGCTGAATATAGATTATATGAGTAAAATTAGAAACGTGTTTTCACGGGCTTGACAAGATGGATTGTAGTCTCATGTTCATTATCTCTGTCTGTCAGTGGGGCTGGCAAGAGAGTAGTTTTATTGATTTAGGGTTTGTAAGATGTCCAAATTAGAAATCAGACCTCCTTCATGCTTCTGTTGTTACTGTAGTTCAGCTGTGATGTGGCTTCCAGACCCGCCTTCCTTTTCTTTCAGCATCTCCGCCAGTGTTACTCACCCCTTCCTGTTTGTGAATCTATTTTCCCTCCCCTACCTTTTCCTGTTATCTTCTGTTACACCCATTTTCAGCTCCTCTGATCATTTCTTCTCTGTTCCCTCCCCGTAGGTTGGTAGTGCCAAATAAAGGCTATTCGTCTTTAGACCAGAGCCCAGATGAGAAGCCCCTGGTGGCCCTAGACACAGACAGGTGAGCGCACACACACACAAACGCACACATTAATACACTACTTGACACATAAGAACAGAAATGATAAGCTAACTTGTGGTTTTTGTTTGTTTCAGTGATGATGACTTTGATATGTCTAGATACTCATCGTCGGGATACTCCTCTGCCGAGGTGAGATATGTGATAGGGCTGCCACTAATGATTATTTTCATTGTCGACTAATCTGTCGATTATTTCCTCGATTAGTTGACTAATCATTTCATCGAAAAATGTGTTAAAATGTTGAAAAATGTCGGTCTGTCTCGCCCAAACCCCAAAATTACGTCATCTAATGTCTTGTTTCATACTCACGCCAAAGGGTTTTAGTTCACTGTCACGGGAGAGTGTGTAAAGCTGCCAATATTTGAACGTAAGAAGCTGCAACAAGAGTATTTTCGGGTACTTTTATAGTACTTTTCTATGAAAAATGACTCAAACCGATTAGTCGACTACTAAAATAGTCACAGATTATTTTAATAGTCGATTAGTCATCAATTAGTCGACTAATCGTGGCAGTAATATGTGATGGAGCAAATATCTGCTTCTTTACCTTACATTACTCTCTCATTCACTTCCCTCCCTCGCCTCCTTCCCTCCATTTTATATGATTGTCAGAAGGCCAGGAGCGGGGCCTTTATAAGCCAGTCTCAAAGCAAACCCATTTATATCCATCCTGCTCATCCATGTTAATTCTGTAGGCGTGTGTGCTCGCTACAAGGGCATCATTACATTGCAGATGCACCTGCACACAAATGTGCATGAGACACAGAGCGGGAAACAAATGAAATGTCATCACTGGGTGTCTGCTCCTGGAAATCCTGTTTTCAAAGCTGCTGCCAATTTAAGTGCAAATCACAAACACATCATCAGATTTATTCCCCAGAGGAATACTCGTTTCCACCGTCTCCATCCATATGCTGTTGCTGACGTCTGTCTCTGAAGGGTTGTGGATATATTATTTGTTATATGAACACCACAAGTTTTCAGATCTTATTGCTACCATGTTGAAATAATCAGCTAATACACAGTTCATGTTGTAACCCAGTTTGGCCACTGTCCCCTCTTCCTTTCTGCAAGCTCTTTAAAGCTCTTTAACAGTAAGCTTGTACTGTAGCTGACAAAGTATGGAATAGTGGTTGTTGTTTAAGCAGGACAGAACAGTCCAGTCTATCTACAATAGACTAGACAGCTAATACAAATAATGGTAAAAAAAAAAAAAAAAATCACAGCATGACATTAGTCATCACGTTCGTGACAAAACACCAAGTGATGATCCTTACAGCCATCTGTGAAAGTGCCCTAATTTTATTTACCATGGTTACCACTGTAAATTTTATCCAGCCAAAGTCAAGAGCTCAGAAAAATGAGATTTAAAAGTTGACTATTGTATAAATCTGGTTAAGTCAGAAGAATAATGTGCTTGTTGGCACAAACCCTCCTGTAAAACATTAAACCGACAGTAACACACCTCTGTTTTTTGCATGGATTAAGCAAAGAAAATATAACTTGTGAATTACTAAGTTATAAACGTGTTGGTACACAGAGTTTGTTACCTTTGGACAGAGCCAGGCCAACTGTTTCCCTGTTTCCAGTCTTTTAGCTAAGCTAACCAGCTGCTGGCTATAGCATCATATTTATAGTACAAACATAAGAGTAGTATCGATCTTCTCATCCAACCATCTCAACTATTTGTACAAGGTCTTTTAAATTGTCAATGTTCTTTTGTTTTAAAGTCATGTTAGCAAGCTTGTTACACAGTGACAGGAAGCCACTACTACAGTTGGGACCTAAAACTGGACCCGACTTGATGTATTCTGACTTGTACTGAAAAATTTGAGACCCAATTTCAACCAGAACCTGAAGTTTTATTATTGATAAATTTCATCCACGTTTGACTACTAGCTCACCAGGTTAATTTTAAGGGCAGGTTCACGTGCGTTCTTTTCTAAGTTTTTCAAATGGAAACACCCACTCAACAATCAGCAGAAAGCAGTGTTATAGAAGTTAGAGTGGACTTTAAGTAAGAACTGAAAGGCTTAGTTTGCATTTTTTGAACAAGACTTATTCATATTAAGTGGTATATTGTTGCTTTACCCTGCCGTCGGGCAGCCTTTTCTGTCTGAAAACTGAAGCTGTTATATTGCTCTCTTTGAAGTAAACAGGCTCAAAAACAGTAATTTTACCTCACAGAACACAGGAGTTGCTGGTCTACTGCTACCTCAATTGGTTTCTAAGTTAGTCTTATTATGTGACTTCTGCACTCAAACTAACCTGGCGTTCACAGCAGTACATTGCTGAGCTTCACTACTATGAAGCTACAGAATGATATAAAGTCCTCAAAATAATGACCACACAATAATGGACCAATTAGCTCAGCTTTGTCCCCAGTGGGCATTGTGTATCTTCCTACAGCACGTGACAGGCGTGTAAGCAGATGATCAGCGCAGAGAAATTTCTTCATACATTTTATTTGACTAATGTCAAAATGTCTGGACTTGTTGGGTTCAGTTCTGGCAGAATAACTCTGCAAACCACATGCAGATCGAGTAACTAGTGATGGACTGATAATCTAATGACCTACTTTAATTTAAAACCAGTTATGGTGGGAGTAACAGGAAGTGGCCCAGCAGTCAGCAGCCCTGGGGTTAGGAAACACTATTCAAACCCATCACCCTCCTCTGTCTATCCTCCTCTCTCCAGCAAATCAATCAGGATCTGAACATCCAGCTGCTGAAAGATGGTTACCGCCTAGACGAGATCCCTGACGACGAGGACCTGGATCTGATCCCGCCCAAATCAGTCAACCCCACCTGCATGTGCTGCCAGGCAACCTCCTCCACCACCTGTCAAATACAGTAACCCCACCCCTCTGACCTCATGCCCTTTCCCCCGATCCACACAATATAACCCCCAATCTTCATCTGCTGTGAGTTTACTTCGCCGCCACAGTGGTGACAGTGAAGCATTGGTAGAGTATTGTAATGACAGTGCTATGATGATAATGACAATGAGAAATAATCAAATTAACATATAGAGTGTTTGGTTTAAAATCCAGGAGAAGGGACACATTTGAAAAAAATTCAATATGTATTTAAAATATGAGTAAAAGTGGTGGTTTCCTCCTATGGTAGGACGTGCACTTGTGTTTGAGAGCCCTTCTCCTGGTGAACATGATGTAACATATTAGCAGGCAGTAAACAGACGGTAAATTGATGCTATAAATTAATGCTCTAATGAACTCCATTTCCCTGAAGAATAAGAAACATCATAACTGCTGACTCAACTGTACTGCTTAACTTACTGGAATCTGGGTTGCGTTTTTGCATTTTTGTAGTTCCTTTTATTTATTTTTTTTATAATTCTTTTTTTAAACCTGACGGATAAGTATGATTGTATGTGTTGACATGGCGATATTTTAAAAGTGTGGGCTGTGGTGTCAGTGTCCAAATAGAGGATATCTGGTACCGTATTCACTGTACTGTACAGGGTTGTTATGTAGCACAGGCCAGGTCGTTTCACTCATTCACACCACCCTTAACACTTTTTTTTTTTTTTTTTTTTTTTTTTTTTTTTTTTTTTTTTTTTTTTTTTTTTTTTTTTTTTTTTTTTTTTTTTTTTTTTTTTTTTTTTTTTTTTTTTTTTTTTTTTTTTTTTTTTTTTTTTTTTTTTTTTTTTTTTTTTTTTTTTTTTTTTTTTTTTTTTTTTTTTTTTTTTTTTTTTTTTTTTTTTTTTTTTTTTTTTTTTTTTTTTTTTTTTTTTTTTTTTTTTTTTTTTTTTGCCTTACTGGCTTGCAATGTTTGAGTACGGAGTTAAGGGATGAATGTATGAACATGAATGGCTGAGGAACAAACTGCATGAAGAGCACTGGACTGAATAACTGAATGGAAAATAATAAGGAATCAGCTTGTTGCACATTTGATTTCTGCCCTATTTTCATTGTGCAATCACGTGCCAGCTGTTGCGGCACTAGCTTGACTTGTATTGTTTTGAATTTGCACATTTTTATTGTGTTTTTTTAATATATTTTAGGGCCCATATCTGTGTAATCTTTCCTGCATAGCAGTGACAGTGTCTTATCTGAAATGAACTGTGTCAAAAGGGAAGATTACATATCGTTGAAGCGACCCTCCAACACATGATGCTCACGATAGATTCACAATATCAAACCCAAAGGGACAGCGGGAGGCCTTTAGATCTTTCAGCGCACACTGTTATGTTGCCCCGCTCCACTGTATCTTTTCTTGGTCGCCGCACACTCCTTCCTTCCCATTTCTGTTTTCACAACATGCACCATCATGCGAGCACACAGGTTCAGACAGCAGGAAGATTCACCCTTTTTCATCCTTCACAGGCATGCACACACACACACACACACACACACACACACACACACACATAGACATAAAGAGTGAGGTGGCATCTATTTGTCTCTTTTGACTAATAGGTTGGAAAATGATTTGTAATTGCAACATCGAGGATCACTGACTTGGAGCACTAATCCCCTTCATTTATGACTCCCTCCCTCCCTTAAAAATCAGTTGATAATTTGCAGTTAGAGTATGCCTTAAGTACAGAGAAGTTTAAAAGATGTGTGTATTTATTACCATCTTGATCATTTAGTTTATTTGAAGAGCATTTTGCCGTCTATGAAGTTCTGCTTTTTTTTTTCTTTTTTTTTTACATAGACACGGGTGATAATTGTTTTTCTTTGGTTTTCCTTTTTTAAATGATTTTCTTGTAATGTAAACACTTCCATTACAGTATTTAACAATGTCATTGTTATGTGCGGTGTATGAAAACAATAAATAAACACAAAGCTAATGGAGCACTTCCTGTTCTGCCTTACTGTTTGTGTTGTTACACCTTCTCTGCACCATTACAGAAGAGACATATTGATTTATAAAAGGTCTGAAATACAGTGTCTGACATGGTTGTGTGATGATATGCCAAACAAATATTTAGAAAGAAAAATAATTTTAATGTTAAAACTTCTTGAGCAGTAATTATTACAGCTATGTATATTGCGATAACATTGGGTCTGCGTTGACAGTCCCTGATTACAGTACAGTAGCATCAGAAGTAAAAGGGCTTCAACCTGAAAGGCACCAACATCTAATCACAGTTGTCATAATGCCACGAAAGAAAAACAGCATTTATTTCTTTTACAAATGTATGTACTTTGAGTCCTACAAGGTTAACTACACCTAACTTTACACACTATCTGGATGTTTGAATGCATTAAAAGTGGCAAGTATAAAAAGAAAACTAATGACATCAATGTTTCTGGCTCCTGTAGTGGACGAATAAGACCTCTCACCTCGTTAGTATTATTACAAAAGATTACCAGACAAATAAAAAAGACACTGTACCAAACAAACATACAAACATGCTACATGATGGAATTGATTGATTCACAAACTGATCAACAGAACCTGCCTCAAAATGCTAGTATTGCAAAAGGCTAGCTCAGAAAATAAAAAAAAAAACGTTTGATGACGTATTGTTATGAGAAATGTTGTGCTTCCGTGTCACCACCAGAGGGTGCAACATTGACTGAAATGACCAACATTATTCCCTGATAAAATGCAGTCCACTTACACAGTAAACAAAAGTTAGTTTAAATGTACAGCAACTGGCACTGTTGGCGTAAGAGACAGTCATTGATATTCAAAGTATCGCTGAATATCAACTTAAAGAATCTGACAATGTTCATTCAGGTAGTTGAAAATGTAGAAATTCCTCTCTGCTACAAAATCCCTTCAAAAGGCACAGACCTCCTTGTTTACAGTTCACAAACTGGATGTGAATCATCGTGGTCTTAGCATCAACTGCAAGTGAAAAAGTAAAGTCTGCAACTTTACCTTTTTAAAGGCTTTATACCCTGTTGTGTTTTCCTGGCAGAATCTGAGCCTGAAAAAGCGATGTTGAAATGTATTTTCCCCGTGAGGTTTGCTATGGTCTTGCCAAAGTCCTGCTACAGTACTTTGGTGCAATTAATTGCAACATTATCGTGATGTGACAACATTTATGTTTCAACACAGGAAACAATCTGTACAAACAAACTATACCTACAAGCTCACATTAAGCCTCATTCACTATGTCCATAGCCAAATATATGAAATTAAATACCCAAGCGCTGCACTTCTCTATATTATAGCTTTGTCTTATTCCTCTCTAATAACAATTGACTACAGTGTACTGAGTATATCAACCATCTGGAAGTGAATCTGTTGAATCTATTTACATGATAATACTGCTATACTGTACATTCGCCTTGTCCTGGACTGGAGAGTGACTGTACAAGTGTGAGTGTGTATATGAAACAATAAAACTTACTAAAGGACTATTCCCAAAACGTCCTAACCCACTAGGAATATCTTATCCTGCAAATAAAAATCGGGATGCAAAGTAAACACATGTAGTGTTAATGGAAACTATACATGTACATGAATGCCTCTTGGATTACAGTCTCTTCCAGGGAAAAAAAAACAACTCACACAACACAAAGTAAATTAATTACAAATGGAAAAGCAAGTAGAACCTGTGTGACAGACCCTGATTAACCCTCAATAAATACCAACCACCTGCGGGAATAAGAGGGGTCTAGTTCTAGTTTGATTACACTCAGGTTCAGACGTATGTTTCTGTTTGCTGTTTCACAATGTTACATGCATAGAAGACTTTTTAAGTAGTGGTCTGACTGGTTGAGTTGATTGATCTCATGGGATTTGTGTCAAGATGCACACGCCTTTACACGTAAGGGCGTGTCTATGTTTGTTTAAGCCTTTGTATCTATTGCATGTACCTTTATGTATACATATATGTACAGTATTGCGGGTGTGTCTCACACCCCAACGGGGCTTTGGTCTCCAGAGTCAGAAGAGGACATGGACACGGAGCAGCGGCGTCTTTTGGCCACACTTGAGCCCTGGAGCATGCTGGGATGGAAGCCTGCGTGTCGTCGGGCATGTTTGGTCAGGTGGTCGCTCCTGATGAAGCACTTGTCACACAGTGGACAGTTGAAGCGCTTCTCGCCCGTGTGTGTGCGGTAGTGACGCGTCAGCTCGTCTGATCTGGAGAACTTTTTGCCGCAGTCTGGCCAGGTGCACTCGAAGGGGCGCTCACCTGAGGAAACACACACACACAAATTTTGTATTAAAGCACTTTTGAGGACTTTGCTTTGCCTGCATTTATTTAATAAGCTTCACTCTTAACGTTACTTTTAATCACATTTGTTGAAACTGCCACTATATCCTGTCCGTGTGACACATACTCTGTGAAAAAATCAGGTTCCTCTGACTCCTCCTAGTGCTCCTAATGGCAGGTGCAAGAATCCACCGCACCTCAATGAAAGACAAGCAATCAGAGCTAAGAGGAGTCTCTAACACATGGCAATCACTACTAGCACACACACTGTACTGCCAACAACAGCACACACAGCAAAGACAAGGAAACTGAGGAAGACCGTCAAAGAAAATCTTACCCTCCATTTCACAGAAGCCTTATTTTGTTTACTTGTCTTTGGCGTGTATGCTGCTGTTGGTTAAGCAGGGATGGGAAGATCTTTCATTGCTGGTAATTGTTTCTCAGCCACTTTGTGCACAAGCAGTGATTGACATGCGTTACTGCAGGATTATACTTCTGCATCAAATCAACGCCTGGGCGCAGGTGTAGGCTTTGCGTTGACATAGAGCCTACACCGTACTGTATGCTGTTGCCTGACGTGCACATCCTAGGAAATGTAACTACATGTCGAGACAGCGCAGACCTCCAGTTTATACTTTGGGATTTATCCAGGTTTCATATGAGAAGAAGAAATCTCCACTCATCGCTAGGCTAATTTATACAATGTAAAATGCCATAGGCTGGCACTAACAATGTTAGCATTTTGTATTTCTTTGGAAAACGTGTTTAGTATGACAGTTGTTTTGTCGGTGAACCTTGTGAGCTGTAATTGAGCCGAATTTTGTAATGATATGTTTGCTAAATGTTGCTGTTGTCCCTGGCTTAATATGAATGGAGGAAAAGTTGGCTAGTGGCTAGGCTAATTTATACAATGTAAAATCCCATAGGCTTGTGCTAATAACCTTAGCATGTTGTTTTTGAGGGGAAAATGTGTCCAGCAAAGGACAAATGCTTTGTCTGTGAATCCTGCAAGTTATAGTGAAGCCACTTTATGTACTTGTGTTTGAAATTGTTGCTATTAAGCCATATTCAATGTGTGTTTTGTATGTTTTCACAGAAACCCTGTCGCCAACTAGTGTTTTGGAGGTGTAACTGCAGTGACACAGACACACCCCCGCACATGTACAAATGCTCACAACAGCGTAGGCCATACATGTAGGCTATGGCATAGGCTCTGCATAGAGCTGGAGCACAGGTATAAATCCTGCTTTACAGACTCCTCCTGGTTTTGATTGGCTGCTTTCATTCAGGCATTATGGATTCTTGCAAATGCCATGAGGATCACTAGGAAGAGCCAGAGGAACCTGATTTTTTTTTCCACAGATTATCTGTCTCCTGTACTACTGTCAGGATATACTGACAGTTTCAACAAATAGGACAAAAAAAAAGTTATTTCTATAAAAGTTACCTACTGCAGCTTTAACCTCTGTGTTTTGCTGATATTGGCTTGTCTTTCTCATTTTTTAGGGACCCACAAACCCCACTGCTGTATGTGCTAAAAATTAGTCATTGGTTTCCTTTAAATGTTGATCCATTGTGATATAATTGTGTTTTACAGCAGAGTCTCAGAGATTCCAGACAGAAGTGATGCATCTTTTGTTGTATAATTCTGGAAATTTTCTGACTCATGTCACCAGTTCAAAAGTATCAAAGTGGTAAAACAAGTTACATATAAGCATGTGGTCTACAGGACTCACACACACACACACACACACACACACACACACACACACACCAAACATTAGAGTAACCTTTATCAGGGTACACCTAACCTGTTTAGTCTAAGCTAATTCACATTAATTCAAAACCATCTTTTTTATTTGTAACCATTCACAGAGGGAGGGCAGGCAATGAATAAAAAAACAGACCAAACAGACACAGAGACACAAAATACGTGAGAGGAGGAGGAGTGGGAGGATGAAGTACAGAGTACAGGATTCACAAAATTTTGGGAAGGCCGGCATAAACAACATTTTCTCGGAACAATAACAGAACATATTGATTTAGAAATAGTGAGTCATGATAAGAGCCTCGTGAATAGAAAACTATGGCTGCCCCCACCTCCCCCTTCCCCCCCCCCCCCCCCCCCCCCCCCCCCCCCCCCCCCCACCCCCCACATGTGCTCCATTGAACCGCATGTCTGCCCTTGTTTACAACCCGACTCGAGGGGGAGTGGAGGAAGATGACGTATGAGGAAATGGTGGTGCAGGGAGGGTTATCTCCGGACAAGAACATGAGGGGGCAACAGTGTCGCAGTGACCTGCATGTGAATCATAAGCCAAGACATTTATTACACTGTTACGCGCTATTTATAGCATTACGCGTGATACATGTAAACACATATCAGACAACGCAAATAAACAGGAGCAATAAACATTAAGAGGCATTATTTGGATATGGCATGTATCAGTATAATCACACCTGCACAATCTAGCTCGCATCACAAATATGGGCGGTGGCACGCGGTGTTCCCAGATCGCCTCCTGGCTGCGTGTCAACAGCACATTAACGCACACCCTCCATATCTCTCTCACACCAGCCTCCCCTCACCGGCCAGCCTCTGGGCCGGGTCTGTCACACCCCCCAGCAGGGACAAATTCATGGGACCACCTTTCCAATAATCTGTTATTCATTTGCAGAAACATGTGGTCTCTCACTTACACGCGTCATGTCACATTACACAGACACAACATGGAGTGTTAAACATCACACATCACGTATCAGTATTATGACTTTATAATGACATCAGTCTGTCACTCATATTTCCTACATATTTGAGGGTTCTTGAAATAGCCAGTAAAGTTTTAGCAGTGATGTCAACATGCGTGGGAAATGAGGAATAAAGGCAGGAGTGACGCAGAGCAGTTTCGCTGTAGTCATCACAATCGAGCCCTCCTCCACTTACCGGTGTGCACCCTTAGGTGCGCTTTGAGGTGGGACGACTTGCCGTACATCTTCCCACAGCCTGTAAAAGGACAGCAGTGTCTCTTCTCAGGAGACTCCTGCCTCGCTGTGGCCGGAGCCGCCCTCTTGCTCCGGGGCTGTTTGGGTGCCACCGAGCCCCGGCTGTCCCCGGCGTTCAACCGGCAACTCCCCCGCTCATCCTTCTTCTCCTGTGTGCCGGCGTCGCTGCCTCCGAGACATTTACTGTCCCCTGGGCTGATCGCGTTTGGGTTGCATTTGTTTAAGTCCAGTAAAATCATAGCAACCATCAGTAAAGTCCTGCTCTCCTGGGTCTCTTTCAACATGTCCTCTGTTCGCCCCGGTGGTCGGCTGGGGTCACAGTCTGCAGAGACATCCACCTCTGACATCACTACAGCAGCTCCGGCTGGAGAACAGAAAATATATATATAATAAAGTAGATATGTACTCAAAGGGTGGGTACAATAAAGAAATTAGACCACAGTCCACCCAGGAAACATGTGGTTAAGCATCGACACGTGTCGTCTTCAATGTGACTATTCCGCAAAGGCTGCGTTTTCTTGTTGAGGTTGCAGGGTGGATAAATAAACACCCCCCACAGGAAAGATAGCACTCTGATTCTCTTCCTTTCTCTTTCTCCCTCTGGAGCTTCTTCTCTTCAAGCTAAAATAACACGCACCGTTTCCCGACAGAGCCGAGCCTACTGTGTCTGCGTTTATTCCTCCTTTCTGTGCGCTCCCACACATGCGTCAACTTGTCCTATTTCACTGCAAGCAGCACTTCTCTCAACTCCAAGAAACAATTTCGCGGAATCCCACGGTGTCATCGCAACGCGGAGCTGTGATTGGCTGAGGGAGAATGTGACTTGGTTTTTGGAACTGTCCATTCAGAGGGGTGATAGATGGCGCACTAGACCAATCACAGACTGGTAGGGTTAAACAGAAGGCGGGACGAGACTGATGTTGCTTTCATGTACTTGAGGGGAGTGGGGAATATGGGAACCGTTGTCAAAAAGTGATTTTGAGGTCTTCGCTTAAATGGCAGTGTACTTATAAATGTGAATATGTGTATGTAAAACACAAAAAAAATCTATTTAGAAATATTTGACTGAACATTTTTATACACTTACAACTTTAAAAGCCTATGTTGTGTGATTATAGTATAAACTACGCAGCATCAGAATTTAATATATTTACTGTGCACATTTTGTCCAGTTAATTAATCCGTAGCAACTCATAGCATAAATACTTCTTCACTTACGGACACTCCTCTCACTAGGCTCATTTTGCCGTTTCCTACCATATATAACTCATACTTAACACATGCTTTGAATAGACACTTGAATGCAACATCATAACAGGATAGCTGTTGAGGACACAACCTCATCTTGGCACGCCTCTGGGCCTTAATGGCAAACGTCTTTTTATTATATAATTTAAAAGTGCATATTCGCCATATTTGTAAAGTAACTTCCTGTTGAATGAACCAGTGGATTTGCATTTATTTTATCTCGAGCCAACATAATGCAAAATCATGCTTATTTGCGCGAAATGGACACACACAGTGTGGGAGACAACGGAATCGGACACAGACTTTCAGATTGCTTAAGAGCATGGCTACACAGATCCTGCACCACTTCCTACAACTTACATTTCCCATGCTGAGAAATGAGATGCATCGGAACATCACATCACAGGCCACACACCACACTGAGTACAAGGCTTATTGTTGCCTCGTATGTGAAGACTGCAGTGCGATGTCTGGCTGATAGGTGTTCTTAAGAGGCCAGTGGTTGTTGGTGGTGCTGTATGTCCCGCCTACAGCTGCGAAACTATTTGCTCTGCTGTTATCAATCAGTGAAGGTCAAACCATACATGCAGTTCAGAGCAGAGGCGTACTATAATGCAGCTGTTACACCAGCCCATCTATATATGTTGTTTGTACTATAAGTAACCTTGTGTATGGTTATCTGGGGTCAACAAGGTTATAGTAATTATGAATTTTCATTTAATCACAAGACAAGTGTGAATCCATATAGTTTTGGAATGATACAATTCTCAGGTTTATTGTTAGGCTACAATACTGTTTTGAGAAATAACTAAGTAAAAGCTGATTACACTATCTAGTGGTAAAAAGAACTGTGGTAAAATACTGATGACATATTATCCCCGGGTAATATCCACTTGTTAGCAGCTGCACTGGCACCCAACCACAGCTGACATATCAGTATTTAGGTGATGACACATGAATCTGTGTCATAAAATGAAATATATGTGTTTAGTTTTTTAGATGTAATCCAACACAGCCACTGTGGCCAATAATATTACAGCTGTGAACAGATCTCACTTTAAACGTCCCAGTTTTTCATCCATGGTGCGATCCTAAATTAGTGCTGTCCCCAGCTGTCCCCAAAGCTAAACGCTTGAACTATTCAGTGACACTGTAACCTCACTTGACACTGTGCATGAGATCGGGCTGTGATGTAAGTGTACAATAGAGTTTTTGTCTGTCTTGCAAACTCATCAAGAGACACATATGAGAAAATTAATTGTGCGGTTAGATTAGCTGTGTAACCTTGTAACAGTCAGATGGTAGGTTACTGTAATGAATACACATCCTCCATTTTGCTCACAAAGACATTGTCTTTTGTTTTTATGTGAAGTTCCCAGAGTTTACAGTCACACTGTCATTTTAATGTCTCAAATGAGAGTAAATGAAAAGCACATTTCTGTGTAGATATGTTTTCATACATAAACACATTATAATACATGAATCCTCATAGTAAGAGGTCTTGGTTAGTGCACTGTTATGTTTAATAACAATAGTCATAAAGCCCTACAGGCATGAATGTAACCACAGATTATATAATGACATACATTAAAGTTCATTACGCATGAAAGGTCTTTAGGTTTTATGAGCATCATGTATGTATTGGTGGAGAGTGTGGTTAGGGTTTGCCTTTATGACTGCTCTGTGTCTGTTAATCTAAAGTAACATTTTTACAAGTTACATTTCATGGGATTTAAATATTTAGAAATGGATATTTTTTTTGTGGTTTAGCAGGAGAAGATTACAGCTTTTCTTCTACTCATGATATTTAGTGTATACTGACACATCATGCAACACAACTGGCCAGAAAGAAATGTTGGCATTGTACATTTCTGCAAACCACGGATACATTACATTTGCAGGTTATTACATATACACTGAAACTTCACATGTGGTTATGTTTAGCCACAAATAACCACTTGCTTGGTTAGGAAAAAAAATCACATTTTGGCTTAAAATACCTGGTTTTGAGGGAACAACCCCCACTGGAATTTTTTGTAGCGCTATCCCCGCTGGAAAAACAGCAACAGTTTACTACAAAACACCAATTTTTGGTGCCTAAAACGTTGCTAAAAAAACAGTAGCAGGTTGTTACACAATTCCCATACTTAGTGCCTAGAAAGCTCCTGGAAACACAGCAGTGACTCCCTAAATCACAGGCAGTTTTGTTGATTGTTGGTCTTGAACAATGATTTGCAGCTTGGCAGCCGTGTGGATGGATGGATTACTGAATGGGCCAACCAGGCACAGGGGCCCAAGTGTCAGGGGCACCCGGCTCCTCACCTGCAAAACGTAACTCAGATGAACACATATGGATGATGCAAAGAGACACAAAATAACCACGAAAAGGGGCAAAACAATCATTAAGAGATACCAAATGTCTACAAGGACACAAAACAACCAAAAAAAGATGCAAAATTACCTCAAAGACAGAAAATGACAAAATGATTAATTTGACCAAAGAGAGGCAAAACAACAAGAGTGAAGTAAAATGGGGCATTTTGCATATCTGTGCCCATTGTCCACTGTCTCATAATTTGCCCATGATATGTATGAAATGTGCAAATGTACTGTATTCGAGCTTGCATAAATGTACAATGCTGACATATTCCTGCATCTGGGCTTCATCAAAATATCCTCATGGATATGACTTCCACTTGTCCATTCCCCTGACCAAAACAAAAACATACTCAGGTATGACGACCTCTGCAATGGATCCATGACACTTTCTGTATTTGTGATGTATGAGCCATCCAAGCATATTGTGTTTCTTTATCCTGCCAAGCTAGCATCCACTCCTTTTATTAGAGATGTTCTTTCAGCAGTTCCCTCAGTTCCCTAAAAGTATGCATGGACATCTGCTCTCTCACCCAAGGTTTCATAATGGAGTCCAGTGTCAAGGCCAACAAATGCTATGATGGTCACATCATGCTTCTGTCTGCACCCTGTGTTTAGTAGAACCTTACTTGACCCAAAGCAGACAGTGTGTTACCATTAAAGTGTCAAGTCATAACCACAGTGTTCTTTCAGTATGGTTACAAGAAGCAATGTGCGCTCATAACTTTCTAGCCTTACTTGGAAAACAGGTCCATATAAATTCATACTGTGGATTTCATGTACTGTAATGCATTATCATAGCCTATAATACATTAAAATGTGGCATATATAGGGATCATTACTAGTGTTTTATTTGCATTTGAAATTGACATTTTCATAAATGGGCTAATCTGTTCTAGAAACCATTTTGTTGTCATCAAGCCTAGTCAAGGGTGTAGTTTTCTTTTTGTTTTCCAACGCTGGGTGGGGGACCACATACGAAACAAGGGGTTTGAGGGTCCTCTGCCAGCAAATCTTGCCACTTAATTTCCTGCATTCTGGTGATTTTAATACACCACTTTGTGCTTTCTGCATCGATGCATGGTGCATATGCCTTTAATTTTCTCCAAATTAAAAGTCCTGTTACTTTCATAGCTACACACAGTATTTACTCTGAAAGAGAGAGTGTGATGGAATATAACTCAGTCCATCTGAAAGTGTAACAAGACTCCCAGCTTAAAAAAAAGAGTGCCATGGGTGATTCATTCATGGGTGAAATTCCTAGAAAATCTCACTGAGCTCTGGGGTTGCTGGGATTGAGCAATGCTACCTCTGAAGAGTTTCTCCTTGGCAGTTGGGTACATGCTCTTCCCTGGGGCTGTTTATGTGAGAATGAAATGGCTCAGATACACACACAGAAGTGTTTCCTTACACTTTTGTCCTCAGATGCCTCTGTGCTCCACTCAGAGATACATCATGGTGTGTGTTGATGTAGCCTTGATACTAGTGTATACATTTTAAAGTGTGAGAATGTTACAAATGCAGCAACATTTCACAACAGGCAAAGAGGAGTGTGCCACACCTATCCTGAACAATTGCAAACTCTTCAGTTGGAGATCCTGCCTGCAATGCAGCAGTGACTCATTGCCTAACAGCACATTTATTGTGGTCCTTCGATATATGATGTCCAGTGCTCATAAGCTTTGAGAAACAACATGTACATGAGGAAAGTTCAAGTCCCTATTTGAGCATAACAGATGCCGTATAAGCCAAACACTGCAGGAACTTTCCGCCCTTTTCCCCGAGTCCTCCTGCAGAGAAACTCCACTTCCACTTGGCTTAATTCACTGGCAAAACCCGCAACTTTCCAAGAATAAAATCTGTTAGAAAAAATGGGACTTGGCCAGGCGCGTACAGCCTGCAGCCCCCCTCCAGCTCCTCCTTCAGCAGAGCTGTAAACATTTCACCGAAAGAGGAGGCGCTTCTGCGGCTCCAGCTCTCGCTGCTCCGCTTCCCTTCTCACTAAAGTGCGAGAGTTCAAGAGTGCACGGCGCATCTGGGTCATGTCGACGTGTTGACACGACGTAGTGATTGTGTCAACGCTGTTGTTTTTGAGTGTGCATGCGCGTTCTGT